TTTATTCAAAAAAAAAAAAATTTTTTTTTTTTTTTTTTTTTTGCATAGTTTCAGATCATTATTATAACAGTAATTACAACAAACAAGGCAGACTGTTGAGTGAACTGCAATTTTCCCATCCTACGTAGACATTTTGACAGTAAAGGCGCCTGGCTACTCTGTGGGGGTAGCCAAGAGACAGCTGGGGGTGTTTCTGCACCTACAGTCCTTTCTAGAATAATCATCCAACTTTCTGAGCTCTCATTTCTGCAAAAAAACGTAATCTTACAAAGCAAAACTGAGCTGAGAGGACAGCGGTGTTTGCACTCGTTGGTATGTTCTGTGCCTTTAAACTTGACGTTACTTTAAATTTTCGCAAATATGGTTTTCTTTTTAGAAAAAAAAAATCCAAACATAACAAATTTATATGCTACAGTGCCATCTAGTGGCTAAAATAGAAAATTGCAACTAAATAAATAGAGCTGAGAGTTTGTTATTATTTATTTTGTTGTTATTATTTACCAGCTGAACTGTTTGTTCAGTCAGTAAAGTGATAGCTATGTAGCAAAGGATTGTGGGTGTTTATTTGAGCAGAAAAGCAATTTTAGCACTCTGTTTTTCATGTTTTCTAAACAGTAAAGACATATATGACAGTATTTTTATTGGAAAACAACAACGACTCAGGTTTTAATATCAGTGCCGCCATATTCCTCTGCATTATGACTTATCGTATGTAAAACAAGAGTCACCGAAGTTGGTGCACTTCTACCAACACTTAAGTATAAATTGTAAAAAATTATTTAAACTACTCTTCTCCAGCTGGTAGCCTTCCAGTTTCAGCGGGGATTCCCCGACTTCAATTTCCAGCTCCTCAAAAGGAAGCCTGAAACCTTCCAGAGCCAACCAAGAGACGAAGTCCCTTCATAGTGTCCTGGGCCGTCCTCTAGGCCTCTTCCTGGTGTTATGTGCCTTGAACGTCTCCCGAGGGACGCGTTCAAGAGGTATACAAAACATATTAACTTGTTTTGCAAATGGCTTCACATACGCTTGTATCAACAAGACATCAAGATGAACTATTGGTCCAACTGTGGGAAGTTATCCCAATGAACTCATTTCTAAAAACTATTTTCCGTCTTCAAATACTCTCAACTTTAATAAATAAAGGCCACAGACAGCTGAAAATTAAATCATCAAGACTATAAAGGCAGCCAGCATCCATCCAATAAGCTTGAACTTTTAAGGTTTAATGCTCAGATTATCTGCTTCTTTATTTGGTTTCAAACTTCTCCAGATTTTATTCCAGACACGTCTGCAGCCTTCCTTGGAGTCGATGATGCTGTTTGTTCATCAATGTCCTCTAACAAACCTCTGGAGCCTTCGCGGCACAGCTGGATTAACAGTGAGATTAAATTATACAAAAGCAGGCTCAACAAATTTATTCAGAAACAGAACTCCTGAGGGCAGTTCATTTTATTTGCTTTTATTTAGGGGTATAAGACACACCGAGTTGAGTTTAGACATCGGGATCAAACGAAAGCGCTCAGTGATCAGTTTTTCTCAGCCCAAGTTTGCACCTAAATAATCCCTGATGCCATTTTCTATCTAGGATGTTATGCCTGTTTTATCTTTAAGACATTTTAGATCTCTGCAAGTGGAATAAGGCCTCATTTATGAAGGCCCAACTGTAGCAGACTTTGTTAATGTCAGAAAAATGAGTGAGCTGGGAAACACTTCTGCTTAGTGCCTCAGTTCTGGTTTTCTGAAGGTTCTGACAGCATGAATGAACGAGTGGCGGGCTTCCAACCAGCCAGATGATGGAGGATCCCATTGTGAGGACCAGCAACGCTGGCCGTGTTCGCCGTGTGATGTTTTACCTCAGGCTAGAAGAATCAAAGCACCACCTGCGGACCAGCAGAGATGCTCCCACTCAACAAAACAGACAAACTCCAAATGTCAGAGATGGCCCCTCTAGTAAACGTTTCCTATGAGCGAGACAATAAGGCGCAGCTCCGTTTCTTTAATGTTTTCGTGCTACGCGGCTCGGTAGGGGCTACGATCTTGTGGGGAAACCACACATATCCGTCTGAGACAACTTAAACGGTTAACCCTCACCGAGGCAGGTAGCCATTAACTCCACCAGAGCTCCACATTATCGCTTGAGTCATGCTGATCTTTCTGTAACACATAAAGGCCCAGAGAAAACCTATAATCAAGGAAGGTGAAGGATAATGGTCACTGTTAAAGAAATTAGCAGCGTGACTAAATGACTGTTTTCCCTACAAATGCCAAAGGGTGAGCATAGAGAACGGACCTGAGTTTGTTGCAAGATAAAAACATGAAATCATGTTCGGAGATGAGCGTTCAGCTCTGGGAAACAGAGAATATGATGGAAAAAAACCTCTAAACTCCTATGATATTTAGTCGTGTTACCACAACAAACTCAGATGTATTTCTTTGGGATTTAATATGACTGGAAATCACAAACTCTGGAGGGGCTGTAGAGAGTCTGGATGCTCTTCAGGACGGATGGAGCGAAATAGAAGGGAGAAGATATACTGGAGACATTAAAATAAAAAGGTGAGACTGAAGGTGACCCACCATCTGGAAACATCCAGCCATAAAAAAGAATGAAACGGATTAGATTCATGCCTTAAAATGGCCCAGTCAAAGGCCAGACCTCACTGCATTTGCAGATATCAGGTAAGGTGGCAAAATTTGGTAAATTTTGCAAATAAATAACTAAAAACATCTAAAACTGCGCAATAGTTTTAAGTCTTAGATGTGTATAAATGATAATCATATTTTAAAAGAGATATAGCAGTGACTCTTGTGATATTTGGGTTTTGGAAGTATTGATTTGAATCAGCTACATACAAATACATGCCACACAAATTCTATATTCAAAGAAGGCATAATGCTACCACTGCCATGTTTCACTGTAGGAACGACAAATGGTTTCCTTTCTGCTTCACAGTTATCCACTGCTTTGTGTTAGATAACACATAAAAGAATAAAATAAATTAAAGATAAAGGCGGTAACACAATCAAATGGAAGACAGTGTTTCCTAAAGAGGCAATCTGCACAAAGTTAAAACGAAATTTAAGATATTTTACTATTTTAATCTTTCTTTTCATTTTTAAGTTGTTGTTTTTTTTTGCAGCTGTGCTCTCAGTGTCTGTAACCAGTAGAGTAAATGGAGGCCATCCGGGATTGACTAGGGCTTCTTTTTCAGGGGCGGAGCTAGATAGGGGGCCAGGTTACCTAATCATTGGCCCCCCCTACCATTTATCCCCTATAATACAGACGGTGGCAGCAGCAATACCCTCAAGAGGAATATTCTAACTTATAACTTATATCTTAACTTACCTGACAACAAAAACCCTGTTAATAATTATGCACATCAATATACTGACATTAAAGATAAATACAGAATTCATGCTCTTTTCAGAACTAGATTTTGTCTTCTATAAAGAGAAAAATATGTGTAGGAATCTTCACTGAAATCAGAGATAAATACCTACTTTAATAATATGTAGTGTAGATATTAGTACATGTAAATATAAATGTTATGCTGAATGATTATTAATAAAAGCAGGTTAGTAATGATCAGAGATGGGAAGTAACGAAGTACAA